AGGTCATATAAACAGATGACGAAGGCAAAGATAATTGTACTTGAATATCTTCGGTTGAGAAGACGTTCGAAAATAGGGTAATAAAACAATTTTAACTGGCTTCCATCAATGGCAACTGATTTCCAGCAGTCAATGATTAAGCAGTTCTATTGCTTCTTCAGATGATTGCATTACAAAATTTTTTTCGACATTCATTCATTCGATGAAAAAATTTGAATTTCCCCAAGTGTATAGTAGGTGCACAGTAGGCAGCGAAATTTCAGGAGTTTTCTAGATCTTTGCTTACAATAGAGGATCCCTTCTAAGGGAAGGATGCTTGGCGACCCTGGCCATCCATAATAATTCATATAAAAAAGCGCATTTTAAAGCTGGCTGCTCGAATGCTGTCTTCCACGTCTGTGAAACGATAATCTGGATAGAGTTACGATTATTTTTTCAAAAATGAATTGCGCCACTGTGAAGGGTCAAAATCAAAATCATCAACAACAACATTCTTTCCTTTAGTGAATATAATTCAGATGAGTATAAATACAACAATACTGCTTTCAAGATTTTCCTTAATAGCTTAAAACGGTAAACTAGATCAAATTTGGTGAATTTAACCACCCAATGTACGCAATTTTTTACGAAAAAAGTTCATAACTTCCTTCTAAAGATTGTTTCGCAGATATCCAAAACAGGTTCAGAATCAGCGTTTCGAGATGCACCTTGATGTATACATCTCATTCCAAATGGCCACGGTACCTAGTATCCTTTTTTGTTAGTTCGCAATGAATAAACATTTATAACCTACGTAAGCGTGCATGAAAGAATCCGTAATTATGCCGCTTACCGTGCACCTACCATATTCGAAGACTTCAAATGAAAAAATGAGCCCCCGCCAACCTGATTTGCGTTGGATTCAGAATTTGTAAACTCCGAATCAATTTTGGTGAGCTCCGGTGAAGCTCGGTGAATTTTTAACGAATTAGGAGGGTTATGTAAACACTCCTCCTCGGTTTCAAGTTCATAAGCCAATACCCGTGAGGACGATCAGAAACGAACTTGGGAATATGTACCTTAATTACAACAATGCGCGTAACTTGTGAAAAAAATCACCGCACTCTGCCTAGAAGGCCTGAATGAACACAACACTCGGTCAAATTTTACGGATCTTCCATTCTAGCTCGCATTAAATTACTCAGAGTGTTCAATCACTGCACAACGATCGACCTACCGTTGCCGAAAATTTGGCAAGGTCCTTGAAATTTGACCAACTATTGTGCCCCAAACAGACACGTCTATGCATCAAAAGATGCATCTCGTCGAGCTGAGGTGAATGGTGTTTTTGGATAAATTCGTCCACTCCGAAGCAAGATATGGCGAAGAAGCGCGAAGTTCGGCGAATTGGCGGAGTGCGGTGATTTTCTTCACGAAATACGAGCAGTATTGTAGACTCCACTTAAGTGTTACCTAGAATGAGAAGGGTAAAAAAATTAATAAGATTTTATAGTCGTCTTCCCCCAGTAGACACCTTGACAATTTCGAGTTTGAATTAGAACACGCCGGTTGCGTCAGAGAGCGGGACCTGCAACCTTACTTCAATCTCAAACAGATTTTTTTTGTGTTCCCGACCATCGTATTTTTTGAATGATAACATTTTCTTAATTGGGGATTGATGATTTTGTTGTTTATGAGCGATTTTGCGCTGCTACGCTCCTTTCTCCAACTCCGATTTCTGGCTAAGCGTGGAGAAATGACTAAGTTTGAAACTAAAAGAATCCTTTCCGGTAAGTAGCATTATTGAATGTTGCTCCATTGAACTTCATGTCAAAAACTTCCCATGTGCATCGTTTATTTTATCACACCTGAAAATAGAGCTAAAGAAACGGGCATATTGGTATGAAACATCGCTAAGTAGCAACAAACTCGTCGCTTCTGACCGCAAACGTTATTAAAACAAAAAAAATCGCTATGCAATCATGACAAAGCACTTTAGTTTAGCCTGAGCTTGAAATAAGTTTGACAAAGTCGCCCTTTGCCGCGACCGGCGTGCTCTAGTTGAAATTCGAATTCGTCCACTGAGTGTGCACACCTGCATACTGCAGAATTTATGGTGGCACAGATTTTGCCCTAAGTGTACTAAACTTTCTATAACCAATTTACTGTAGAGCTTCACGTTCTTTACAACGGTAAGTCTGGAACGAATGGTGCCATTGAGAAATGATTTTCGCAGAATGATAGCTGATGTTCAAATATATAAGTCGCCACAACAGCGGTTCGATTCATTTCTAGCATCAGTTCAACCATAAAAAGTTCACCGAAGGTTCGTTGCGTGATATTTAGCATCAGCCACACAGTACAATGCGCAATCTGGACAAGTGGAGGTCTACGATAGTCATAGCATGCCCAAGACTTGCAAGTGGCCAAGTCTTTTGGACCAACATTCTTGTAAGAAAGATATGCGTAGCTAGGAGGTCTGCCAGGTATGCTGCACCACATAGTGTTCGGTTTCTTTTGCCGTTTCATGGATGCATCAGTTATGTTTGTGACACGAGCAGCATCGCTGCCAGGAAGAATATAGAAATTGGGACTTACTTTGCCAATTGTATTAGAAACCTCCTTTTTTAAGACATACTTTTCATGCAAAAAAAGGCCCATATAAAAACATCTCGTTAAGGCCTTGCATAATTGAGCCTGGATGCTCAGACTTTCAGTTTTGTTGTTGACAGGCCTTAATCCAAATACTCGAAAAGCTACTCAATTGATCTACTTGTGGCTAACAAATCCAATACAAATCTCTAAACGTCATACTCCAGAATTTTGATTGGTATACTAGGGTAGGTTAGATACTGTGCTGGAGTTTGGAGTCTCTCAGCCATCGACAGTGAAAAGTTTCATAAGAGCTGCTGCTTGTCAATATCTAGATAAGATATGCTAACACTTATGGGTCACTAGCTGGCTTTCCCGGTCCAACCCGGGTCATCCTTCTGAGGAATGGCCAAAGCCACATTTGCCTGCTTTCCGTCTTTTTTGTTCGGTTCAGCCATGTCCTCCTCCTGCAAAAAGCAGCCTATCGCATGCGCAGAGGTAGGATATATAAGTATGCAAAGCTTGGCTTTTGGTTCACTCACAGAGATTTCTATTCAGCACAAACTTCACGGAAACATACTTGTTCACAAACTCTGTTTTATATATTTACCAGCGCGTCACCTCTGCTTCGCAGAAGTTCGCACTGGCTCTACTATCTTCTTCGTGATGGCATAATAATGACATTGAAACTCACCGCGCGATGCTGAACAACACGAATGAATTGTAAACAACCATTCATTTTTAGAGCTTTTTCAGATCGGTAATTATGGGAGAAAAAATTTTTCCGCATAAAAAACAATGCGATTTTGAATGGGTTACTGAATTCATTTTGGCTTTATAGTCGCCATAAGGATAAAATCACCTTGAGCTACATATCTACCCAAAATGCTCTCAGTTTTTATAGTAAAAACTTGGCAAATCGACAATTTGCTCAGTTACATCTTTTTGGTGCCAATTGTGTGTAAAAATAGACTTTTTGCTTATTTTTTGAGCTAAAGTCAATGTTTTTCGGATTTACTTGCTGAACAAATCTACGACTTTGCAAAAAGTCCAATTACCGATCCATTTTGGCGGGCCAAATGTCGCGTGGATCCGTTTGACGCACAGTTTTCGATGGTTCCACTTACTGGATCGGCTTGTAATTTTGCACAGTTTACTCACACGCTGACAGGGTGCTATGACCAAAATTCTAGATCAAGACGCTGGTTGCAACTCACTCTGTGAATTTCGTGACAGACAGATATACACACACAGACAAACAGACAGACGCTTAGCGCTTTATTATAAGTCATGATAGATTTATTACTGTGAGCTTAGTCAACTGCAAATCGCACGGATTGCTGTAGAATGAAGTGCACGCGAGCGTGTCTGTAAGGCTGGTGCCGAGTACGGTCGCTATGATGACTCATGCGCGCGAATGCCAATGTTAGCCCGCAAGAGATACGCTCGCGGGCGTTCAGCCTGGTCGATTCCGTGCAGTCAACTATACCTGAGCATACCACACAAGCGTGTGAACTTTATCAAACCTCTACTTGAAGTGCATTGAAAATTGCAGCAGATATTCATTTCTATGACATAGAAGGTAGACGGGCAGCCAAAATTAAAGCAGCGCAAACAGTGAGCCTGCGCATTGATAAGATGGTTTTGGGAAAACTGATCATGACTCAGTCTGCGCAAAATTAAAATGGCCAGACCAAGAGTATGCTCTCGCTAGCATTCCGGGTGCCATCTCGCTCATGTCCTTCAGAAGACTACGTGTTCGTGTCGATATATCGTTTTTTTGGCTTGGTGATTCATTTTGATACAGTTTTTAAGCTGTTGACTAAGGTTGATAAAGCCAGTTTTTCGGTGGTTCCTCCGCCTTTTTCGGACTTACTCAGCCTTGCCAGATCACACTCATAGCGCAGCTGCAGCGCAATACTTTGGTCCGTCTCTGGATTCAGATCTGACAAGATTGAGGAAGCACTGGAACAGGCGAACAGACCGCCGAAACGTTGACTTTCGCGTAATATAGTGTTGCTACCAACCTTGGTCAACAGCTCAAAAACTACATATTCTTTACGCCGAATCATGTATCTGCCGCAATCATCCCCCTCCCCCCCCCCCCTATGTCTCCCCGTGGCACTTTAGCAGCGGAGGGCTTTCGAAGAGCGCAAAATATGAGCGCGCGTCCTACTGGGACCGCTGCTGCTAACCGGCCTTGTTTGATTATTAGGAGCTACATTGGCAATAACGATGTAGAAGATGGGTTCAAAAGCTAGTTTTATCGATTCACAATTGAATTTTACATGGACCGGTTACAGTCTATATCAGGCGACACAGCTTTCTTTCTATCTGAAACAGCCAAGAATTTTGAAAGAAAAATCGACTGTTACAGGAGACCACGAATGCGGCCGCGTTGGTAATAAAAACTTATTGTATATTTTTACAGAATCAAACAAAAGAAAATGACCTTTAATTATCTGCAAAAACTAAATTTAATTTTGTACCTGCTGTACTCAGAGGTTACAGCAGATTCACGTACGTTTATACTTTTACAAGAATCTTTTGCTGTTAGAATCAATTTCCCAAATAATGCAATTGCAGACACTTTTTCAAACTTATGTCTTAGACCTTCCAACAATGGACGCGGGAAACTAGAGGTGATGAAAAGCATTTTTGTAATCTGTCAATGATTTCTTACTCTTTTCAAATTCTCTTTCCATTAAAGAGTTTGTACATAATAAACATTCAGAGTTCTTCAAGATGCACGGTGATATATCCTGTCAAAACAGAGACTGCTTCGGATGCAGAGGACTATTGCTATAGATCTCTTCCATACGCTGTATCACACATCGAACATGGAGATACCACAAAATGTGTTTACGGTAATTCCTTGCCAACGATTTATTTTACTTTGTGATACTAATGTAGTCGCTATTCTTTGAATCTATGGAAAATAGTGAAATCAGAGTTGTTAAAGTAGTCGGAATATGCACATGCACATTCACCCCGTAAATTTCTCCTCGTCGTGCTCCTACGTGATGATTTCAAAACCTTTTCCCGAAAGATATTTTTGCTTGGAAAGAAGAGCAAAACTAATAATGCTTTGTCAAGTTCTTTTGAAGAAATTCTCGGCCTGACACAAAGGCTTGAACAAGCACGACTATTGAGTTCCTATTATCTCCCTTGACTAGTTTGGCTTTCCTGGTTTCGCTGACTATGAAGGAAGTTGTGAGCGAATTAAATTCTACTCAAGGAAAGTGAAAACATTGGTCAGAAGTGCTATCATATCATCCATTCTAGGGCTAAGATATACGCTTTGCATACGTCTGTCATAAGCAAAGGCTTCCCAAAGTTTGGTTTGTCGGCATTAGGCCTCGGACAGAGTTCACGCGATTTGATCGTCGCAATTTAATCCCCGCGATTTCCATTCATTTTCATTTTACATTCAAAAATTTCGGGCTGGTAAAGTATCACAACCGAAATGCAAGCTGATCGGCATGCAATGAACTCGTAACAGTTGTCTTGTCGCGATTGAATCGCGACGATCAAATCGCGTGAACTCTGTCCGAGGCCTTAAGCTTGCATAACACGGACCACTTTTCTTTTTGTCTACCTACGAGAAAAAAATTTGCCACAAATTTCTCGAAGATCCCGTATTTTGAAAGCCTCACAAGGGCAACAAAGACGATTCCTAGTCTAGTTTGCGCAGTCAACGGAGGCATGTTAACGAAAAAGCCGTTGCCTAAGAAGACCTCTTGGAACACCAAAGGGGGAATTAGCGAGTCCAGTGCGGTCGAATCGCCCTTCACGGGCACTCGAGAATTTTAAGGTTAGGGGAGGGGGGGGGGGGGGGGGGAATCGAGTCGGACATGGCCAACGTCTATACGGGTAGTCTTTTCAGGAACTTTTTGAGAAGATATCTCAGTTTTGGTGAGGCTGCATCTCAAGTTCATACTTGCCCTTTGTGCGTTTTGAATTTCTTTCCCTGAATTTGTGATTAAATGCGTTTGCGAGTTGGTTTAAAAATATGTGCAACAACGTTCGTGTACTCTAGTCTCAAAAGGGATGATAAGTGTTATCTGAAAAAAAACCAAAAATGTTTATTTTTATTTTGAAAAGTTACTGAACAAAACTGACTGTTCTCTCTACGACACACTAAAAAGCATGCAAATAGTCTCAGATTCTAAAGAAAAATAGAATTACCACGCAACAAATCATTTTGCTGTAATTTTTCAGAGAGGGGCTTTTTCTGCGAGGATAATGAAGAAGAAATATTCGACAAGTGCTTTATAACTCATAGTGAACTCGGAGAATATTTTGGTTATAACTACTGTCCAAAGAGGTACTTGTTACACAATGCCACGAGCCTCGAAGAGCTGAAATGGATTTCCCGTGAGTGTATGTTTGAGATGAAAACGCAATAGCTACTGAGCAACATTTCTTTTTAGTTGTCTTCAAAAAAGAAGAGTTAGCATGGATTGGCAATTCCGGCGAAAACGCCAAATTCTTGAAACCTAAAATAACACCGAATTTGGCAAGAAGAAGTCTGTTATGCTTCCTAGTCACAAATGACATGCAAAAATTGGTGGTATACTGAAACCTGCCTTATTTTTACAAATTTTCTCCACATTTCTGCACGTAGTTTTCGTGTTTACAACAAGGAAACCATGTTTAGTCGAAGTGGCCTTTTTAGATGGGTATACTACATTGCAGAGCATGAAACACACCGATTCAAAATCTTCCTTATCTGCGATGAGCAAAAAGTTACATACGAAAATAGGACAAAAATTGTTGTTTTAATGGAGCAGTGATGATTATCAGAGCACTCTATCCGATAAATACTCTTAGATAAAAATTATATTACACTTGATTGCTTTATTTAAAGGCTAAGAAGATTCTAGTAATTTATTTTATCCTGCAATTTTACTTTTTTGCTCGATAGACACTCATAACTTCTCGTCCACAAATTCGCAGATAAGAAAGACAGATTAGAAATCAGCGTTTTCTGGTTTTCAGGATGGTATACATCCCGATCGCTTTTAAGACAAAGACCATTTCTTGGGTCAAGGGGGACTTCGTAAAATTTTGCAAAAGTTAGAGGGAACGTCGTTTTGCGAATTCGGAAAGCCACCTCGTGCAAAGCCCTGAACATGCTTCCCCTGTAAGTAAGTTTATTTTTTGTGCCACAGCCTACATCTGTTACCTTGCGAGAATTTATACCTTCTGCGATGCGTATGGTTCCGATGACAGTGTTCCTTAGTTAGAAGCAATCAATTAACGTTACTGCATGCAATCAAGGCCACCTTTGTTAATGCGGCGTTCGTCCTTTCTAAAGCATGCAATAGCTTCATTCGTCAAAAAAGTCGCCGGACTGCGGCGCACTCCGCTGCACTCTAGCAGACTGCGTCGCACCTCGGCGCACTGCAGCACACTCCGGCGAAGTGACTTTTTGACGAATTATGTGAGCGGTATTGTACTCTAGCTGCTGGTTAAAACCGATATAATAAGGGATGTGCTGATTTTGTGGTCGTGCGTTGTCAACATTCGGAAAGGAAAAAGAATCACATAATCATACATATTACCTCTTCAACTTCGCAAATATACTAATGTGCATCACTGACTGCTTCAAAACAAGCACTACACGTGTTATGAGACAGACAACGTCCATCTTCTAAAAGAGAGATATGAAATCAGGTTTTGACTTGGGCCGAATAAACCTCGTTGAGACGGAAACCCTATAGCAATCCGGTTCCTGCGCCAGAAGAGTTTTTCTAATTGGTCAAATGATGCTTTGTGTAAGCCTTTGATGCGGTTGAATGATGTTATGTTACTGTATATGTCCCTAGAAATTTTCCACTTTGTAAATGAGATTGTGCGCACATGCGAACGCATAAAATCACGGGTAAACTTCAGAGCTTGAATTTAAGCATATGTAGTTTTAGACCAATGGAAGGATACCAAATCGCAGTGATAAAGTGGAATAAATACATATCGTTGAAGGCATTATGATGGACTGTCTTAGATCTACCTTCCGCATCTTCTGCCAGTTTTCTGGAAGAAATTATGAACGGATGAAACTATGAAGTCACTATGACTCTATCGCATAATGTGCATCGAGTCAGGGTTAAGCCTGAGATGTGGCACGCCACACCTGAGGGTCGTACCGAGATGTAGGACGGGGAGGAGTGGGGTCGTTATCAGGGCCGGTAGTAATCTACCCTACCTGGTGGCATCATAGATGCAGGCAAGTTGGCACACATCGCGGAAAGATGCCAACTCCGCCGGCAGCTCGCGGAGTGATTGTAGGTTTTAATAATTTTGTATAATCTCAGTACGCGGTTATTTCGCTCATCAAATTTTGATAACGTAGACAACCGCAAAACTGCAGTCTCGCGCGCGGTCGAACCTAAGTGCGTTAGCTTGAAGTGCCACCACGTTAACCATTCGACCATTCGGTCAGCCATTGCCTTTTGCACCAGCAATAGGAGGAACGCACTGGTGAATGGCTGCCTATAAAAGGGATCGATACATTGCGTGAGAGACTTTGACCTGAAAGAACAGCTGATTGATATGAGCGAGAGAGGAGCGAAATCGGTGCAAACTGAGATTTATAAGGGATTGCCAAAACAGTTCGTGTTCTATATGATTCTAAGGCATTAGTGGATTTTTTTCTCTGTAAGAAAATCGTCATTTTAAAAAAGAAAAACCCATATAATGAGAAAAATGATAGTTTTTTCATGAAAAGTAGAATTTTTGATTTTTTCGCCTGACGTAAATTGTGTGATATCGCCGCAATTCGCAAACTCGCAGACGCCGTCGGCAAAGGTGCCACCACCTCGACGTGGTAGGGGCACGTCGAGATGCCGGCAGCTCCCTCTCTCAAAAGAGCACGCTATTTCCCGTGCTCTCTGACCTGCCGGCAGCTGCCA